CTCGTGACCACATCGTTTGCAAATATCCTCGGATGTCATTTTCATTTCCAACCTCCTTTCATTGCAGATGTTACATACATCAAAGTTGTATGCAGTTTTCTTCAGTTCAAAGGCACGGATTGCATCCCTAGCACAATTAAACTGTTTGCAGTGACTTCCTGGTGGTGGGTTTGGAATATCATCTAATGTTATGTTTCATTTTTTTCTGTACATTTTGAATTAAACGCCAGTATTTTCTACGTGTTGGACGATTTGAGAAGTTCTGAGATTCTGGTTCAAAGTGAATACCAAGTTTTCGACATTTGAAAAACAAATCTGCTGTATCAGGCTCATAAATGTTTGATTCTGCAGCATTGCTGTTGGAATGTTTGTTTGAAACCTGATTTTAACTATTTTGGGGTCTTTCTATGACTGGTTCAAAACTTGAACGTATTTGTATGGTTTGACTGTTTTTTGTAGGTTTTCATTTGGAACTACAGAATTTGTATTGAAGTGATTTTGCGGGTGTACATTTATTTGTAGCCCAGCCACGTTGCTGAATCATTGCTTTCTGATACTGATCTGCAGTTGTGACATTTTCATGCATTACGATAACCATGTCTTTGTACATTTCAAAGTTGTCATAAATGTATTCACAGATTTTGTGTCTTAAGCTACTTGAATAGTCCTTGTCAACTTGGTTATTTAGGAGAAGCCCTAAACAGTGAAAGAAACAGTTTCCATCACCAGGAACATCAACGACTTTGAAAGTAGCATTTTGGGTGCATATTGTCCTATAACTTTCTTCAAAATCAGATGCATCCATGTTTTTGCTGTAACCATTATCATGATTGATTTGTTTATTTATTTATCTATTTATTTATTTTTTGCTTATTTTGATGACAAGGAGTGGAGGTGTATCCATGAGCATTTTCTTGGTTTATTTCTTCCGTAGGAATAGCTAAAACTTGTGATGTATTATCATCGACTGAATGGCGATATGGTATTGATGTATAACTGTGATCACACTGAATATGGCTAGAATTGAAAGGATCACTGGATGTAGCATTATTGTTCGCAGATTGATTGACTGTACACGTGTGTGATGTACTGCAGCAGTGATCATTTTGAACAGATGACAAATTATTCATTTTCAGTTTTTCCAGCTATGTACAGACTATCCAGAGACCTATATCATAACGAACAACTACAAGCAAAATTGTTGAAAAACTTTGACATTTTCCCTTACATTTTCAAATAATAAATGTAACATAGAATTCTAAAAGATAGAATAGAATTGTGTACTGTAAAATTGGTTGTTAGTTTATAAGAAAAACAAATTATTTTGGCAAGTTTCTTTTAAAATCTGCATCATCATGCATATGATGCCTGATATTTGTTATGACAAAGTGGAAAAAATGTTGTACTCATGTACAGACTCGAGAATTCCCCACAGTATTTCAGCACTTGCTTCAAGCACATATCTATAGATCTTCAATTAATTTCACAATAAAGACATTTGTTTTCACCAAGACATGGTACACTACACTTGTTATTTGTCAAAAGAAAATCCACATCATGCTTTTGATATTAAAGATATCTACAAAAGTATTTTTCAATATCAGTATCCTATTATTTTGTTTTCCTGATCACATCCTTGTGAGTTTTGCTCTTCTTCCCGGCCAGGTCTTGTACTTTTTTCCGGCAGCACGTTGTCTTGTTGTTATTTTGATATTATTTTTTACGTAGCAGACGTCAGCAGCACGTCATCGACGTCAGCATTTCCAGCCAATCAGAGTGATCGTTATGCGTATGCTCACAAAACATATGTAAAGGAATTTAAATATGGACGATTTATTGATCAGTGTTTATATCACAGCTAGTAACCCGTTAATCGTGTTATCAAGTGTTCATGCCTTCGATCCCAGATATTGAAAATTTGATTTTAACATTTATCTTCATTTTATTTCAATACACCGCTTTTATGAACTAATTCTTAAAGTGGGTGTCGTTTTATTTGTTTTTACATATGCGACTACGGAACAAACCCCGAGCTACTTTCTCGGGCAATTAATTACGTGATAGCACATGCAGTTTTTAAAAGCACAAGCACATGACAATATTTAGTAGACTTTCACATATGATATACTATACCCAACCTAAACATTTCATACATAAAATATCGTCACCGTAACCATATTCATTTCATGCATTTTTATTTTCCCCGCAAAATTAATTATTTGAAAAAATTCTCACCAGTTATCGATGTTATGTGGATGATGACGGTTGATGTTATCGATGTTATGTGGATGATGACGGTGGATGTTATCGATGTTATGTGGATGATGACGGTGGATGTCATGTGGATGATGACGGTGGATGTTATCGATGTTATGTGGATGATGACGGTTGATGTTATCGATGTTATGTGGATGATGACGGTGTATGTTATCGATGTTATGTGGATGATGACGGTGGATGTTATCGATGTTATGTGGATGATGACGGTGGATGTTATCGATGTTATGTGGATGATGACGGTGTATGTTATCGATGTTATGTGGATGATGACGATGGATGTTATCGATGTTATGTGGATGATGACGGTGTATGTTATCGATGTTATGTGGATGACGACGGTGGATGTTATCAATGTTATCTGCATCTGCCACTTACCTCGATCTTTTGCTACAAGAACCCATTATGGACAATCCCCCAGACAGCATTGTAAGCATGTGGATTTCAATGTTTCTATTGTGTTTTCCATTTCTGGAAAATGCAAGTTCGTTTTGACAGTATTGCAGCGCTGGTGCAATGGATGATTTAAAAAAAAAACGTGACTAATAAACCAGAGACGTATATAACACAAAAATCAAAGTGATTAAACATAGATTAATAAGTAAAGTTTAAACGTGTTTATGAATCGTTTACATTAGATAACTGGAAAAATAACGCATGAAACATACAAGAGTAAACGTACAAAAACACTTATTATCCTTAAAGTTCTATCCGATATGAGAACAAGGTAAATGAACTTCGATCACGCCCAGCTTCGTATCGCACTAAGAAATAAATGATATATTTTTTTTCTTATGCATGCATCATCCAGACCTTTTTCAGTAACTAAATAAGTTTTTATTTCCTTGTGATGTTTCAAAACCACAATTTTCTTGTTTTATTCTTTTATGAACCTTTTAGCAAATGTTTCAATATTACATATATATTTATGAGTATCCGTAATTTTTAGCGTTCGGGTAAGTATTTAGATACTCCACATCTGGATCATGCATGCGCTTTTATTTTAATGACAGAATTCGTCCCAGAAAATCTGCACATGTTTTGTGCGTGTGTATGTTAAGCAGGTTGCACTTGCCGACCCTTATGTCATTCGCTAACGAATCACAAGACTCATCATCAAGGCATATATGTCATCTTACGAATCCCGGTCGACAACGGTAAGTATTTTGTCATCGCCTTGTGCCGTCTGCAACGTACATGTTGATGCCGCTATATTGCAAAGATGCAGTTGTACATGCGTGACTACAAGGCGTCACTGCAGATGGAGTCTGCTTCTCTTGTCTTGTCTTTCGGTGATTGTTAACGGAATATTTTACAAGATATTCACCTACTTCAGTGTGTTTTTATTGAATAATCGTCGTAAACATGGGGTTTTGATATTAAATCTTCTGATCAACGGATGTGATTATTAGCCCTATAATGCATAAAGCAATGTTACTTCATGTGTCACACGCGTGATACTGTGAATTTGCTTAATATGGGTCAAATTATTGATTTTTTGAATCCATTATGAATGAAGTAGTTAAAATGACGTAAAGTCAAAGCATACATTTTTCTGTACTCAGTACTCACTTGGCAGGTACATTACTGTAAATTGAAAACTTATAGTTAGAGGTTAAAACCTGATGAAGGTAAATCTTTTGCTAGCCTGTTGCATATATATAAATATCAGATATTGAAATTATGTTTTAATTAAAAAGTTGAAAGTTACATAATATCAAAACAAACAAATGTCAGGCCTTTAATTGTCAGTTGTTTGCGATTGTTTTCAGCTTCAAATGAGCTGTGGTGTATTTTCTTTTCAAGTTTATATGAAGTCATTTTGGAATTCAAGAAATACAAGAAATTTTGTATTTATTTGGTATTTACTGCTTACAATTGTCATTTGACAGTCCTTTACCCGCTGTCTTTAATGTCAATGTGAATAGTGACCAGATGGGTAGGTTATTGTGACGCCTATGTTTTTTCTTTATCAATGTTATAAAAGAGATTTCAAAATATGTTTGAACAATTTGAATTGTAAGTGAAACAATACAAGAAAGTGTTTGAATTATCAATAGACAGAAAATTATTGTGTTGATTGAACAAATTGTGTGTTCAAACAGTGTTGAAAAGAGCTATTGCTCCTCCACCATCATTTTGTTCAATGGAAACCTGGTAGGCTTTAAAACCACAAGATGAGAGTGTGTTCAGATGAACAGTATTTCAATTTATCCATATTGCAAAATTTGATATTGTCCAGAAATTCTTTCTCCAACTCCTGATTAATTTTGTGTGGAGATCTCCTTACTCATTTTTTCACCAATATCTTTGAATCTTGCCAGGCTTTACATCCATGATATATAAATGTATTTTCCTCAATGGCATTGTGATTTTACTGTCATGTCTGTTGTGTGCTTAGTATATCAAGATATTGATACTAAAAACATCTTAATTTGATAGGTATAGTTTGTTGAAATATGATTTTTATCTAGAGTACCTGTCAATACAATAATATTTATGATTAAGATGAAAAATGATACAATTGATAAAGAACTAATAAAGATCCAAGATCACTGTAGGATCTCTGGTTGTTATGATATGTTTATACAGACAAAGGATCTTTGGCAACAATTCAACTTTTAAGTTACCGCCATATTTACAGTGCAATTATTTGATTTCTTATCTGTAGACATGATACTGTGATTCTTCTGTTAAAGGTATACATGAGTTCCGATTAAACCATGGGAGACAACTCACATCCACCTCCCCTAGACGGGGGCTGGGGCTGGATGGTGGTCTTAGGTAAGATTAACTAATATCACAACCATGCAGACCTATACTTTATCTGAATGTAAACTTGTAATTAAGTACAACAATATTTAGTTACAAGCTTAGCTAACCAAAGATTGAATAGTGAATCTTGCCACAGCTCAAGCTGTAAAGTTGTGATTTTATCTGAATCTGAAGCTTCTGTCTGTCTTCCATGTTATTTAGAAGAACATTTCTGGGTTTATTTCATGATTTTCATCATGATTTCTGCTATCCATCCCAAAATATTCTTCTTACTGCTTTTTCTTCAGGAATACTAGACAGTTTTCTGTAAAATTTTATGGTTATCATTCGATCTCATGGTCCCAAGTGGCAATCTTTAAAATTTTAGAAAGATGAATTACTGATAAATGTTGAATATAAAAAAAACCAAGAAACTACCAAGATGTCAACATAATCATAATCCAAAAAGAAATATTTACATACAAACTTCTGAAAAAGGATAAGGTGTTCTGAAAGAGTAAGCATCTTCTGCTTCATCGGTGACGCCCACCATGTAAACCTTGGTCAATCCAAGTAAGTAATGTCATATTCTCATATGAGAACAAGATTTACAACAACGGAACCAGCAGACAGTCAAGCAGTCATCAAACATGTCCAGCTTCTTATCCCACAAAGAAATAGAATATTTCTTCTCGATGAGAAGATCTTTATCAAATATTCCAGTTTAGAAGTGATTAAAAATCAATGTCAGACAGATGGAAAGCAATTTTGAATTTTTATATGTACAATGTAGTTGAAGTTTTTCATTACTTTCTTTTGCAAAGTACCTTAAAATTGTTCTTAATATTCATTTATGTATTTCTCTTGGTCGTTGGCTGTGTATTTGGACAGATATCTGTTGGTAAACATTGTAGTAACTTTCCTTGTTTATTGATTTACCATTACGTTTCATGTCAGTAAACATTAAGAATAAAAAAGGGAGATTATCTGACTTACATAGAACCAATTCATATACGATGATGGAGGCCAAGATTTGCTTCTATATTTTTTTCAATTGTTTCCAGTTTAAAAATTTTTTGATTGCAGGTTTTTTTGGCTGTAACTTTTTTATGGTCGGTATAGCTAAGTCCTTTGGTATTATGTTGGAGGAGCTTGTCGTCTACTTCAGCACAGACATTCCCACAGCCGCCCTTGTCATGGGTGTAGCTGGTGGCATTTACACACTCGCCTGTGAGTATAGGATACTCCATCAGACTTAAGTTATATTTAACTCTATCATTTTATGTAAATAAAACCACAGCATTGGCTATATAGTTGGCTGTGGTAGAGTCAAGATGGCTGACTTTTGCACAAAACTGTTTTCATTTAAACAAAGATTGTAGGAATATGAATTATTTCATCATTTGTGTACACAAAAACACAATTTTTCATTTCTCTTCAATTAAATTTAAAATAAGAATTTGAATTCTTTTTTGTAACATGTTTTCACTTGTTGGATGGAGTGAAATTGGATACAGCAAGGCATTACAACCATCACAATTATTTTCTATATATATTTTTTACATCTCCATTATTTTCTATATATATTTTTTACATCTCCATTATTTTCTATATATATTTTTTACATCTCCATTATTTTCTATATATATTTTTTACATCTCCGTTATTTTCTATATATATTTTTTACAGCTCCATTTGGTTTAGCCTTTGGCCAGCACTTTTCTCAGCGTGTCGTCGTGATTTTTGGTGGAATGATGGGCTGTTTTGGAGTGGCTATGTGTTACTTTGTCCTCAGCATTGAGTACGTTATCTGCATGTTTGGAATCTTTGCAGGTATGTTTGACTGAAGGTACACCCTAGCTGACATTCCCCAGTTACAACTATTGTCTATCTGACACAAACATTCATTAAACATTTCTGAAGCTCTCCTGCTAACTGTTTGCAAGCTGAAACAACAGCATATCTATGTCATTAAGCCCATATATAAGTATTTATATAATATTACTTCAGCGTTATTCAAATACCATACCATCTTATCATCTTACAAACACTTACACAATCTTGTTTTTCAGGTCTGTCCAATGCCTGTTTATTTGGCAACGGTTTGGTGATGCTTGGTTACTACTTTGAGAAACGACGGTCTTTGGCAAATGCCTTGGCTCTCATTGGTGCTAGTGTTGGCCAGTTTGCGATTCCTCCCATTCTTCAATACCTCCTTGATACCTACACCATTCGAGGAACTTTCTTATTTCTGGGTGGTTTCTACCTGAATCTTTGTATCTTTGGGTGTCTCTACCGACCCATATCTTTCTACACCAACAGGAAAAGCAGAGATGTGGAGGCAAAATATCTTGATCAAAACAATGTTTCAAATTTTGAGGCAAACTGTAATGAAAAGGAAGCATGCCTTGACAGCAAGCCTGAGACTAAGCAGAACTGTCACAATGTTGAGGTAGGGGAGATTGCTTTGTTAAAAACCGACATGCGATATGGACATCTTTCTAGTACTGGAAGTCTAATGATGGGCTCAATGGAAAGTCTAGGGCAAGTCGTAATCCCGGACACACTACAGCCAGAAACGAAAAAACAGAAGTCCTCCAATAGTGTGGTTGCATGTGGACTGAACTGTCCAAAACTGATCTACTGGTCGGAGTTCAAAAACCCGGTAGTTGTCATATATACACTGGTCAGTTTCTTTCTGTTCTTCGGCTACTTTAACTTCATCATATTCATGCCTATTGATGCTGCCTCCAAGGACATTGATAAACACAGGAAGACCTGGTTAGTGTCCATGTCAGGCATTGGCGACCTGTTAGGTCGTATATTCATTGGTGTTTTAGGAGATTTGAATCTTTGTAAGCGATACAAGATAATGTCTGTGATGTGTGTTATCTGTGGTTCCAACATTATCTTATACGGAATTGCCACTACCTATTGGTGGATGGCCATCCATGTTGCTGTGTACGGGTTTTCGGGCGGTGCTTATGTTGCTATCAATGCTGTGGTGCTGATTGACCTCGTGGGCCTGGAAGTTATGCCTAGAGCTCTAGGTATGATCCTACTTATCCAGGGATTCGGTGCTGCTATAGGACAGCCATTTGAAGGTGAGAATAACCAACTTTTAAAGTTAGTGTCAGTAGCATTAGCATTTCCTGTGTCTGGTAAAACTGAGGAAGTAAACAATTATCTTTAGTTTAAACCAGAAATTAATAGGCAACCTACAAGAAAATGTATCGGTTTACAACAGATGTATATCCAGGATGATAGAACTGTAACATTGCATCATGTACGTGAACATTTTTTGGTTGTCTCATGGTAACCTATTGAAATAGCCCTTTTGTCTGGAATTGTCAGTTGTCTAGCGTTCATTGTCTGTTGTCTAGTGTCCATTGTCTGTTGTCTAGCGTCCATTGTCTGTTGTCTAGTGTCCATTGTCAGTTGTCTAGTGCCCATTGTCTGTTGTCTAGCGTCCATTGTCTGTTGTCTAGTGTCCATTGTCAGTTGTCTAGCGTCCATTGTCAGTTGACTAGCGTCCTTTGTCAGTTTTCTAGTGTCCATTTGTCGGTTGTCTAGCGTCCATTGTCAGTTGTCTAGCGTCCATTGTCTGTTGTCTAGTGTTCATTGTCAGTTGTCTAGCGTCCATTGTCAGTTTTCTAGCGTCCATTTGTCAGTTGTCTAGCGTCCATTTGTCGGTTGTCTAGCGTCCATTTGTCGGTTGTCTAGTGTCCATTGTCGGTTGTCTAGCGTCCATTTGTCGGTTGTCTAGCGTCCATTGTCGGTTGTCTAGCGTCCATTTGACGGTTGTCTAGCGTCCATTGTCAGTTGTCTAGCGTCAATTGTCAGTTGTCTAGTGTCCATTGTCAGTTGTCTAGGGTCCATTTGTCGGTTGTCTAGCGTCCATTGTCAGTTTTCTAGTGTCCATTTGTCAGTTGTCTAGTGTCCATTGTCAGTTGTCTAGTGTCAATTTGTCAGTTGTCAAGTGTCCATTTGTCAGTTGTCTATTGTCCATTTGTCAGTTGTCTAGCGTCTATTGTCAGTTGTCTAGCGTCCATTGTCCGTAAACTATTTACCTTTTTGACTTTCTGTTAAAAACCTCAGTACTTATTTCAATGAAACTTGGCAGAAACCTTCCATGGTCAAAGGTTAACTAAAGTTATAGAAAATATGGTCCCATTCCCCAGGGGCCCGAGGGGCAGGGCCAAAAAAGGTAAAATTGATTGAAATTTCATTATTCTTCTTCTCATTATCAATTTATGGTAGAAACAAATACGCTTCATAGGAAGAAGGGTCTTAAGATGCTTTATCAAACTTGTAAATTTCATGACTCCAGGGTCTCACATTTCCCCCTGGGGATGTGGTAAAAATAACTATAGTTCATGTAGGAAAATGACATTTTTGAGCTGAAATTTCAATTCCCAGATATTGTAGAATGAAATGCTCTTCATGGATAGATGGATCTGAAAGTAAAATTTCTGTCCCTGTACTAGTAGCTTTTCTCATTTTCTCTTTTTTATACAATTGTTTCTGTTTGTGAGTTCACTCAGATTACCATTTAGTTCCTTGGGCCTCTTGTCATTACTTGGAACATTTGAACATAAACAGTAAAAAATATGTTTTACATGAAATTCATATTGTATCTGCCTATGGAAAGTTTTCACAATGATATATTTAGTGTAACAATGATGACTGTTTCCGTCGCTCCTGTTAGATAAAAACATCACAGTTTTAGCCCACCTGATGATGGTGGGCTATTGAAATTGCCCTACATCTGTGGTTTGTGGTCTGTGATCCGTGCGTGCATGTGTGCATCCGTCTGTCCGTCCGTCTCCATCCATCCAACCATCCATCTGAGGGCTTTTCCAGGCTATAAATTAAAAACCATTCAACTCATCTTCACAAAACTTGTATATATTAAGTTAGTGCCCTAGTTGTGCCTTTTGTTATTGAGTAACATCACAACTTGTTATACCAGTATATATGTATCATATTGGGGTTTTACACCAACAGCTGGGTGCGGGGTATAATGCCACGCTTTGGGACTCCTTGTTTAGGAATTATTGATTGTCCTTTGTTATTTTTTAAACTTAAATTTTGTCTGAAGCATTTCACTCAAACTATAAGAGATGTCAACATAAAACTTCAGAAGTAGATAGATATAAACATGAAGGAGAGCAGTGCACAAGAATCATAACTCCCTTATTGCATGTTATTATTTTTCATGACGACCCTTGTAATTGACAAGTGGCTACAGTATCTGTTTTGTTTAAAATGTTGTAAAAGAATTTGGGAGCATTGATACTGTAGAGGAAAGCCTTTATATTCTGTGGTAGGAACGGCTGAATAACAAGGAGGATACTTTGAGGTAAAGGGTCAGACAGACATATGCAAATTGGAGATATTAGTCTTTGGGCCTGAAGAAAATTTGTATGCAAATGATGTTTTTGTGAAAATTCTTCAAATATAGAGAAAGAAATATTGTCTGAATCCTTCGAGAGATCAGCAATCGTATGTATCCCTGGTCTTTTCCATGATTTGTAGAAAACAGGTTTACCTGGCACAGCTGTATATTTTAGTCCAAATGTACTTAATCAAGAATGTTCTTTTTTTGTATATTTTTTTTTTATTTCCCTAGAGTTTTTTAATTTATACCAGGCAATGAAAACATCCTTCCAAATTATTTGTACATAAGCTACTACATTTTAATATATATTCACCACCAGTATTCAATGAAAGATCAATATCTGTGTTTTCCTTTATGATATACGTCCATTAACTCCAGCGTCGTACAATCCTATTACCCATTGTTATTGAAGACAGGTCATGAAAGCATTTAAATTTTACATTTTCAGACTTACAATAATCCTGAACAATGTTTCTTGTCATTTGATCAGTTTTATTATACCCTAAAAATTCAATGAAATCTTATTAGTTTTCTTGATCGCCTTTTCACATGGATTTGGAAGCGATAAATTAAGTAAGTAAATAAGTGGTTAACTTGGGATGTCATCAGTGACTTGTTGATATGAATTTTACTCATAGGAGTTAGCTTCCTTTTCTTCAATGTGCTGATTAAACTAGTTAATGTTACAGTTTTTATGCCCCCGCCATTTATGGCCGGGGGCATATAGCGTTGCGTATGTCCGTCCGTCCCGTCGCGTCCCATCCCATCGCGTCCCAAATCAGTATATACCATCTAACAACTTCATTCAGAAGGCAATTTTCATGAAATTTCATACAAATATCAAGTATGGAAAGACCTCATGCAGTCTTGAATTTCTCGGCATTCTAAAAAAAGATGGCCACCAGGGGGAGATAACTCAAAAAAGAGGAACATCATCTTATTTCTACATAATTTGGTACTTGTGGGTTTTAAGGCATAAGGAACTAATATACTCCCTCATTTTTTCCAGAGAACAAAATTCCAAATTCATGTACGTTAAATCAACTTGTCAATTTAAGTATGAAACTTCATACAAATTAACAAAATCATCTCTTTCGTTTCACTATTATTTCACAATCAACAGACATTTTCTAGTCAAAATTTAGTTTAAGAATGCTTATGAAGTTCAAATCTAATTCAATTCCATGTACATAAGATTAAACTCTGCAGCATATCAAATACTAACAAAAATTATCTACATGTACATTCATTTTTAAACAGATATATTTTCAAAAATATGTAATTATCTTAAAGTTTCTCTGATTGATTTACCTGATCCTTCTAATGCCAGAAAAGTGTTGTCTGCATACGGGAATGTGAGAATCTCTAAATGTTCTGTTCTAATTCCCTTAATCCTAGGTATGCTACTGTTTTCCTTAAACAAACTGTGAAAACTGGCACAGTGAATAGAGATGTGAGGGGCCACTGGGTCACCTTGATGACAAGATCTTTTTCATTAAAAAAATGGAGGTGTCACAAGTACATTTGGACAAAAAAAACTCTTTATGATTTAGGTCATCATTGTAGTATATCATAGAACTTTTGTTTATATTTGAAAATCACACATTAACTAAATATAGGACAGCAGTACTTGTATGATAAAATGATTTCTTGTTATTGACCTACTTACATGTTACCACCTACATCCAGTACATATATAAACATAAGTGATATTTATATCAGGTTTGTGTACATCTGAGATTATAGTGTAATAAATAAACAGTTTTTTCTGGAGAAGTGTGTGATAAGAACCACTCTATAGGTTTGACTTTGTCCCTAGTGCATGAAGCATTTTGGAATTGATTGGAGTAACAAGATGGCCAGAAGGCCCCCATCTTGGATTTGTTAGAACTATTTCTAGAGAAATACTTCATGGACTTTTCTCAAATATTATGTGTAGGTTCCCTTTGGTCCCTAGTTGCACCCCTTCAAATTTTTGACTGATTAGAAATATGTGTCTGAGGAACTTTGATTATGACTGTGAACATTGTTATCACCATTACTTGAGATGATGATTTTTATTTTTTATAAAATATTATATGTGAGTTCCCCATGGGACTTAGTTGTGCCCTTATGTTTTTGGAGTTGATCAGAAAAAGAAAATGACTGACAGGCAATTATCTTGGACAGGTCAGTTACTATCACTTTGTCTTTCCAGATTTTGTTTGAAGTCGTTTCAAGTCTCAGTATGATATTGTTTACAGCATGTACTATGAAAGAAAGCTTTTCCCTAGGTACTTTTGAAATCTTGTTATTTTGCTGGAGGCTTTCGGAATCATTTCAGTGTAGAAACAACTGAACTTTATTTCTATATTTGATGTTTTCCAGGGTACATCAAGAAAGTCACTCGGTCTTTCCAAACACTGACTTACCTCAATGGTTTCTGTATGATCTTTGGAGCAGTTATTCTCTTCATACATCCCATGATAGTGCGACTGTTTGAGACAACTGTTGAACCATCACCAGATGAGGCTACCATCATGGATGCATCGACTATGGTTGATAAAAGGTCCACAGAAAACGGAGAATCAACAAAGTGATATCAGTCATGAGATTATATATAACTGGAAAGTGTCTTCACAAAACAAGGTTCGACAGGACATGTCATAATTATTCTCAATTAAGTCCAGGGTCCAACACATAACATTTGGCTGAAGGAGTAGGGTTATAACAGAACATTGAAAACTCCACTATTGTGGGAGAATTACCATGTATTAACTTATTGTAAAATAAAACATGTAAATTGTAATCATCTTCCAGTAGGGGGCTAGTATTGGTGTATTTAAGGACATTCTATTAAAGATCTGTATCCTAAACGTCCACTTGAAGAACAGTACTTAAGATCGGTACCCTAGACGTCCACTTGATGGTCAGTACTTAAGATCTGTACCCTAGACGTCCACTTGACGGTCAGTACTTAAGATCTGTACCTCAGACGTCCACTTGACGGTCAGTACTTAAGATCTGTAGCCTAGACGTCCACTTGACCGTCAGTACTTAAGATCTGTACCCCAGACGTCCACTTGACGGTCATTACTTAAGATCTGTACCCTAAACGTCCACTTGACGGTCAGTACTTAAGATCTGTACCCCAGACGTCCAGTTGACGGTCATTACTTAAGATCTGTACCCCAGATGTCCAGTTGACAGTCAGTACTTGTGGTATTATAGGGACATTCTCTAGAAGGTGTGTACCTGTCCAGAATGTGGTCAGTACTGATGTGTTTCAGGACATTCCATACATGTATATGGTGTTTTCCTTTAGCGTCCATTGGGTGGTCAGCTAATATTGTATTTCACAGGCATTCTTTATAAGATCATTACCTCAGGTGTACAGTAGGCGGTCAGTTTTGGTGTATTTTAGGGACCCTTTATAAACGGTCTGTACCTCAGTCATCCAGTAGGCAGTCATTACTCGTAGTATTTCAAAGGAATTCTCTATAAGGTCTCTACCCTAGATGTCCAGCAGATGTTCAATACTGATGTATTTGAGGGACTTTCTGTATAAGGTCTGTACCTTAAGCGTCCAGTAGTGATCAGTTCTATGTATTTTAAAAGCATGCTATGAAAGATCTGTACCTCAGTCATCCAGGAGGTGGTCAGTACTGGTGTGTTTTATTGACATTTGATATAAGATCTGTACTTCAGGCGTCCAGGAGGTGGTCAGTACTGGTGTGTTTTATTGACATTTGATATAAGATCTGTACCTCAGGCGTCCAGGAGACGGTCAGTACTGGTGTGTTTTATTGACATTTGATATAAGACCTGTACCTCAGGCATCCAGGAGGTGGTCAGTACTGGTGTGTTTTATTGACATTTGATATAAGATCTGTACCTCAGGCGTCCAGGAGGTGGTCATTACTGGTGTGTTTTATTGACATTTGATATAAGACCTGTACTTCAGGCGTCCAGGAGACGGTCAGTACTTGTGTGTTTTATTGACATTTGATATAAGATCTGTACTTCAGGTGTACTTCAGGCGTCCAGGAGACGGTCAGTACTGGTGTGTTTTATTGACATTTGATATAAGATCTGTACTTCAGGCGTCCAGGAGGTGGTCAGTACTGGTGTGTTTTATTGACATTTGATATAAGATCTGTACTTCAGGCATCCAGGAGGTGATCAGTACTGGTGTGTTTTATTGACATTTGATATAAGATCTGTACTTCAGGCGTCCAGGAGACGGTCAGTACTGGTGTGTTTTATTGACATTTGATATAAGATCTGTACTTCAGGCGTCCAGGAGACGGTCAGTACTGGTGTGTTTTATTGACATTTGATATAAGATCTGTACCTCAGGCGTCCAGGAGGTGGTCATTACTGGTGTGTTTTATTGACATTTGATATAAGATTTGTACTTCAGGCGTCCAGGACGTGGTCAGTATTGGTGTGTTTTATTGACATTTGATATAAGATCTGTACCTCAGGCGTCCAGGAGGTGGTCAGTACTGGTGTGTTTTATTGACATTTGATATAAGATCTGTACTTCAGGCGTCCAGGACGTGGTCAGTACTGGTGTGTTTTATTGACATTTGATATAAGATCTGTACCTCAGGCGTCCAGGAGACAAGTCATTACTGGTGTGTTTTATTGACATTTGATATAAGATCTGTACCTCAGGCGTCCAGGACGTGGTCATTACTTGTGTGTTTTATTGACATTTGATATAAGATCTGTACTTCAGGCGTCCAGGAGATGGTCAGTACTGTTGTGTTTTATTGACATTTGATATAAGATCTGTACTTCAGGCATCCAGGACGTGGTCAGTATTGGTGTGTTTTATTGACATTTGATATAAGACCTGTACTTCAGGCGTCCAGGAGGTGGTCAGTACTTGTGTGTTTTATTGACATTTGATATAAGATCTGTACTTCAGGTGTCCCAGAGATGGTCAGTACTGGTGTGTTTTATTGACATTTGATATAAGATCTGTACCTCAGGCGTCCAAGAGGTGGTCATTACTTGTGTGTTTTATTGACATTTGATATAAGATCTGTACCTCAGGCGTCCAGGAGGTGGTCAGTACTTGTGTGTTTTATTGACATTTGATATAAGATCTGTACTTCAGGTGTCCCAGAGATGGTCAGTACTGGTGTGTTTTATTGACATTTGATATAAGATCTGTACCTCAGGCGTCCAGGAGGTGGTCATTACTTGTGTGTTTTATTGACATTTGATATAAGATCTGTACCTCAGGCGTCCAGGAGGTGGTCAGTACTGGTGTGTTTTATTGACATTTGATATAAGACCTGTACTTCAGGCGTCCAGGAGGTGGTCAGTACTTGTGTGTTTTATTGACATTTGATATAAGATCTGTACCTCAGGTGTCCAGGAGGTGGTCATTACTGGTGTGTTTTATTGACATTTGATATAAGATCTGTACCTCAGGCGTCCAGGAGGTGGTCATTACTGGTGTGTTTTATTGACATTTGATATAAGATCTGTACTTCAGGCGTCCAGGAGGTGGTCAGTACTGGTGTATTTTAGGGACTTTTTTCAGTACTTAAAATTATACAAAAGATTATTATATTTGCCTTCCTGATCTCGCCCCAACATCCTGTCACACCAGATGATTTTGAAATCTTGCCGTCGATCATTCTATTCTTTGTTAAATGTTTCTAGTCCTTTTTTGTCATCATTTTTAGGTATTTAGTCGATATGTTATATGTCAGTGGAAGTTTATTTCCTCACAGATAGAGATTATTGTAGGGACTGGCATTCCGAGAGCTTTTGTCTTTGGCTAGTCATCCACAGCAGTAGTAATACCAAGATATGTGGGGCGTGGTCTATCGGGTAGTTAGGACTGCTCCATTAGTAAGACATGATTGGCACGATAATACCAAGATATGTGGGGCGTGGTCTATCGGGTAGTTAGGACTGCTCCATTAGTAAGACATGATTGGCACGATAATACCAAGATATGTGGGGCGTGGTTTATCGGGTAGTTAGGACTGCTCCATTAGTAAGACATGATTGGCACGATAATACCAAGATATGTGGGGCGTGGTTTATCGGGTAGTTAGGACTGCTCCATTAGTAAGACATGATTGGCACGATAATACCAAGATATGTGGGGCGTGGTTTATCGGGTAGTTAGGACTGCTCCATTAGTAAGACATGATTGGCACGATAATACCAAGATATGTGGGGCGTGGTTTATCGGGTAGTTAGGACTGCTCCATCAGTAAGACATGATTGGCACGATAATACCAAGATATGTGGGGCGTGGTTTATCGGGTAGTTAGGACTGCTCCATCAGTAAGACATGATTGGCACGATAATACCAAGATATGTGGGGCGTGGTTTATCGGGTAGTTAGGACTGCTCCATTAGTAAGACATGATTGGCACGATGTGCTCTGCATCTAACAGAACATGTAGGCTAAGACAACAACACTGAATAGTATTGAATAGCTGGTGATATTCCAGGGGGATTTATTCACAGTCATTAAAAATAGCAAGCATTTAACAAGAATCAAATATGGGAAAGATGGATGTTATAGATTTTATATGTTAATCGTCTGTTATGAAATTACAGGTTTCAAGGACATTTGTAGGGCATTATTAGTGTTTGAATTTGGTTAACGCCTCACGTAAACATGCATGAAAATGACACCAGCATTTTACTAACCCTAACCCCAAACCGCAAATGGTCAAGTTCATGATGTTAAAGTTAGATGGCACTTTTAAACACTGGCATGTGTGAGAGCCATCAAGTCTTGCCTTTTAAAGATCTCTCTGACGTTTCTTAACAGAGCAGGCACAATATACACCACCAGAGATAAACAGATAGAAAAAAGTTAGAACTTTTTTTTTAAGGAAATTAGATCTACTTGAAGTTTATTAATTGTACCAAAGTGATAAGGTCACATCTCATCATCAGGTTGAGGCAGAATTAGGACTGACACAGTCTTCTTCAACTATATCAAATCTCGGAAGTTTCACCCAAAGATTAAAGCCAGCCCCCTCATCACATGATCACTTAACATTTGTGTCTGGCTAGTGATAGGAAGAATCCTGGAGACGGTAAACTTGTAATTACCTAGCCAAAGCCCTTTTGGTAGGTGATCTGTACAAAGTAGTGATGACATCCTCAGCTCAATGTGAAAACTGTGCTTTCATGGGTTCACCTGATTTTGTTTGAAATCAACTTTGTAAATGCCAAAGAGCTACAAATTAAGGTATGTTTCAGAAGAAGAAATTAAATTTTTTGTCGTAATATTAATTGACTTTATGCTAATTGGAAAACATGTAGATTACTTGGTCCAGTGTTGTAACTAGGTCAGATCCTTTAAATGGACAATCACCTAACCAGGGAAAAGACAGGTCAAAGTCACAATAAAGTCACAAAAGTGATTTAGTAGGAATGACTAAAGGATTTGATGAGTTTTTTTGTAGCCATGGAAATGAATTACTATCCTCAAAGGTTAAAGGTCATTACTTTTGAGCATGTCATCATCAGATAGTTGGCTATTCACATTGCCCAACATCCATTGTCTGTTATCTGTTCGTCCGTACATCCGTTTGTCCATCCATGCATT